TTCAAAGCTGGTCACTGGCTGGCTTTGTCCGAAAACTACCGGGATCTCGGACCTCGACTTCCTAGCTAAGCACCAGTGAGGGACGCATGCTGCATTCTGGTCAGCGGAAAAGAGCGATCATGAGGTCATAACATCAACAGGTTAAGTTAGAGTGAATAACCGAACAGCATCGGAAGTGGGCAGGCGGCATGCCGCAACAACAACACAATGCGAGTCAAGAACAGTGCTGTGGAATCGTGGAACTGTAGCAACAGGAGTCAGTCAGCGGGTTTCAGTTGTCATCACGCCAACACGTCTCTTTGTCCACTTTTCTTCGGCTTTCCGTAAATGTACTAGCAACAGCGTCTGCGTCAGAGTGCCAGACAGATTTTCTCCGAGGCCGAACACGACGGTCAGCGAAGCTGAACTGACCTCAGCAGAGTCATGGACATGCTCAGGCTCGGGTGTTCGTGGAACCTAGGGCAGGTTGTGCGTCACAGAAGTTGTTATGCAGCGGCCATGATTCCATGACGCGGTGCTGTGGTAGCCTGCAGTCCATTCAGTGCCATTGTGTCCATTCAGATTCAGTTCCATTCATTTAATATGCGACAATAGGCATAGGCATTACGCATTTAGGCATCAGGCATCAGGCGTCGGGCAATTGGCAAATGAACCATCAGAAGTCGGGATGTACATACGGACGTAGGGTTCTAAGTTTGTGAGAAGACAAGCGGGTGATTCCGTGCAACCGGTGACCGTAACAGGTTTAGGGGTTTAGGGGTTTGTTTAGAATTTAGGGTTTAGGGGTTTAGGCTTTAGGGTAGGGTTTAGGGTTTAGGGCCGTGTAACCTCGCAGTAAGACGCTCTGACGTCAGGCTAAGCTAATAAGACTGGGAATACAAGAATAATACGCGAATCACAAAGGGCAGTGCAGGCGGTAGGAGTCCAGCACGATTCAGCACGATCCTGTCACCACCAGCAGCAGAGTCAGAGTCAGAGTGCCAGAATTCGAGGTCAAACGCGACGGCCGCAACTGGCTGACGCAACGGCTGGAGGCCGCAGTGGACGTGGTGCAGTGATGCGATGTCGTAATAGTTGCAGTTCCACTGCCACGCGTGAAGCATTGCATTATGGACTATGGACTATGCAAAGGGCACGTCACATGCGATTCGAGTGTGTGTGTGTGTGTGAGATTCTAAACCTCAGACATAAGTGAGACTGTCTCTGTCGGTCCATCGGAAGCATGGCAGGCTACGCTGGCAACGCAAGTCGGATGCTGATTGGGTTTTGCCACTTCAGGGCTGTCGAGGTTCAGCGGCTTTTCGGCTAGGCTCGCCTGGGGTCACTTAAATTGAGAGTTTACTAGCGGTACAGTGTGCATGTCAGCCATGTCAGCCCATAACGGGAGTTTGTGCAGTGTGCAGTGGCCGGGCAGCGGCATCTCAGCTTCTCTCTATAAATGACTGAAGACTGAAAGACACTGAAAGGTTTAGGGTTTAGGGTTTAGGGTTTAGGGTTTAGGGTTTAAGGTTTAGGGTTTAGGCCGGGTTTAGGGTTTAGGGTTTAGGCTTTAGGGTTTAGGCTTTAGAGCAGTCATGAGAGCTAGCTGCCACGTAGCCATGCAGCACGAACTTAGATTACGCATGCTGCACAAGCACGTGAATTTGCATGAATGGATGTGCGGCATTGTTTGTCATGTCATGGCTGCTTGGATGTCATGATGGTCATGAGTTTCAGCTTTTACATGTAAGTCTTGCAAGACCCTGGCATGCGACGTGGTCACATCGGGTTCATGCGCACGTGATCATGTCCTGCAGCAGCACTTGCCCACAGCCTCACGTGTGCAAGCTGACTTTGATTCAATGAATATATTAAAACATTACTTGACTTCAGAAGGGTTGTATCACATGTATGTGTGTAGTCATCATGGAAAAATCGTGAAGACATCTCACGTCGAATTCGGGTTCCTGTGCTGCAGTTGTGATTAAAGTATTGAGTTATGATGCTAGTTTAGCAGGTTATCATTTGCAAAAAATCTATGTGAATCATGTTTTCTTGGCCGTGTATAAATTGTGCCGGAAGCGGCCTTGGAACGCCCTGATTGCCCAGAGGGCCCTCCTGGCAGGGGCCTGGGTGCCCAGAGGGCCCTCCTGGCACGGATTGCCTGCCAGGAGGCTGCCTCCTGGCAGCCAGGAGGCTGCCTCCCGGCTGCCAGGAGGCATCGTGTGATGCCTCCTGGCAGCCGAGAGGCAGCCTCCTGTCTGCCGGGAGGCGCCTCCTGGCAGGCATTTCCTGCCAGGAGGGCCCTCTGGGCACCCAGGCCCCTGCCAGGAGGGCCCTCTGGGCATTTTGGTGTTTTTACAGGAACTTAAATAACGATGTTTTGTTGCATCGTTTTATGCAGGAGTTTCATATATTTTTTGTTTAAAATCCTGAAAAAAAGCTTGAAACATATTTTCGAATAAGGAAACACGTTTGATCCTTAGTCATGCATTTCCTGCCAGGAGGTTCCTCCCAGCACCGGGCGGCCTGTCAGAATGGACTTCCTGGCAATTCTATGTGTTGGAAAAGGCTACACAATTGGATTTTGAATCTGAAATATCACAAAGTCCTGTACAGTTCCGGGGCTTGTTTAATCTTGTTTGCTGGCTGGCAGTGGCATTGTTGCAACATAATCATATTGGGTTCATGCTTGGACAGTATGCATTATTTTATGTTTTGTCTAACATGACTGCTCGTGGACGTGTTTCGCAAGTTTGTAGTTCGTTCACATTGTCACACGTACATCTTCTTGGTTTCTGACAGTTCATGATCTTGCCTGTTCGTTGTGTCCTGTCACATGCAGTGGTATTGGCATAGTTCCTTTGCTTGTTGCGTTCTTTTTCACCCTGGTATTTCCGCATAAGGTTGATTTTAGTTAAGCTATGTTATGTTCTTAGAGCCATCGCACAATACGACAAAACTGCAGCACCGGAAACCTGGAAACAACGTCGTAGTTGCTAATGGCTTCACCGGATTCATCGGAATTGCGCTTGCCCGTTGTGATCGATTTCACATTGGGCGATGAAAGTGAAGGCTCTGACTTCTATGCCATGTTCGAGCCGGTAGCAGCAGCGTCTCCATCTAGTGATCCGACTGAAGGCATCGATGTGGTTGACGTCATGTCGGGGGACACCGGGGACACTGACAGCGACCCGGACATCTTGCCCGTCTATGGCCCGCTGCTCCCACCCCAAGGAGACGGAGATGCAGCCGGGGGGCCTCCGCCTCCACGTCCAGAGTCCGAGCCCGACACGGAGTTCACTTACACTCCCTCAGACTCGCAAGGTGCTGTTTCGCCTACTCCTTCACTGACGGAGCCGGGCACTCCGCACACCGTCCGCCCGCATCGTCCCCGTCCAGAGCACAGATGTAAATCCTGCATACGGATTGGGGAGTGTTCGGTGTGTGGATGTGAGTTCAGAAGCTACAGGCGCTGACTCACCCGTACGTAGTTTCACGCTTGGCACAACCTGTCACGTTTGCTGCATGAATCTGCATGACGTGAAACAGTTCGAAACCATCATGCTGCACGATGCTTGTTAAGTGCACTGCTTCGTTTGCCTAGTTGTTCTCCGTGCCCCTGCGTTGTAAGTAACACTGCGCTGCGTCAGCTGCATCAGTTCCTCTCTTGCATTTGCTCACGCGTGGACCCAGGCCGCCGTGCCTCCATGCTGCTGGATGCCGCCATTGGATGCGGTAGCGGCGGTAGCGGGACAGGGTTGCTCCGTCTGAGTCATGAGTCATGTGCATGCGTCCTCCGGCATGTGTTTAAATCAGTGTTTAATTCAAAATCAATATCTACATCAAATGAAATTCATTATTTCCAGCTAGCTCACTATCTCCATATCTGTCTCTCCACGTCTCCATTACATGTAATGTAACGTAATGTAACGTACAATGTAGACGCGGATAGAAACATTTGCCATGTATGCATGTAGGTACGTACTTATGTTTCTGTATGTTCGTATGTATGCATGTATGTATATAGTGTATGTATGTAAATGTATGCGTATATATATATATATGTATATACACATATAATATATATATATATATATATTATACATATATATATATATATAGAGAGAGAGACTGTACGTATGTAGACGTATCTACGTGTATAACAGATTAATAGACGTTAATAAGTTATGTAGTTGTGTACTTATGTATATGTGTAGGTATGCTTTACGTTTTTATGCATGCCTTTATCATGTATTATGTAAGTATGTGTACACAAGAATGCAATAGGTATGTATTATGTAACATGTGTATGTATGTATGTATGTATGTATGTATGCATGCATGCATGCATGCACGTATGTATGTATATAAGTACGTAGCATGGCATGTACGTATGTCCGTATGTATGTATGTATGTATGTATGTATGTATGTATGTATGTATGTCTGTATGTATCTTGGCATGTGCTATATGTCAGTTGTGTATGCACTGATGTCATGTACATCATGTATACATAAACGTACGCATACGTATGCTTTTGCTAGTGTAATCAGCCGTTCGTCATCCTTACCTACCAGTGTTCTCTTGCTAATCTTGATCTTACTTACCAGGCTTGTTTGGCACGACGGCACTACTACCCATGTGAAGCCACGCCATGTTGGACAGTGGATTCACGGATTCATGCCATGCCAAGATCAATGCTCAGTCATGCCGCACCAATGCTAGAAGAACAGACGTGACTCATGACTGCATCTCGCTCATCCCGCTCACGACATGGCTACGTCACACATGGATCCCATGGGTTGTGACAGCATGACTCAGCATGACGGCACGTGATGTGACATGAGGGCTGACCATGACTCCATGACTCCATGACTGACTGACACGATGGTCACGATGGTTGCATGGCCGGATGCTGCCAGGCATGAGGCATCTCATTGTTGACTTCCCACCAGTTTGAGTTTCGGTTTGCAGTGACTCGTAGGACTCGTAGAAGCGTAGGCGTAGAACTCAGGGCTATGAACTGTGGCGGCTCTGGTGGTCGTACAGGTCGTACAGGTGCTGGCGGTGAGGATTCAACCCGTGGTCGCAGTCGGGGACGTGGAGGTCGCAGTAGTGGTCGCGGTGGGAGCGGCGGCGGCGCTTCGCCGAAGCCTGTCGCGAAAGGGGCCGCTTCGCCGAAGCCTGTCGCGAAAGGGACCAAGTCAACCAAGTCTCGTGGGCTCATCATTGCCGCACCTCACATCGATAAGTTCTTTGCGCCAATCATGGAACGGAAAACCCATGAGGTGCGAAACTTCTACTGTAGAATCGTTGCCAAAGGTGAACACATCTACTTGGTACAGAGTGGCCTGAAAGATGTCAACGGGAAGGGCATGTTCTGTGTGCGTGGCAAGGCCGAATTCCGTGGTAACAGCTTTGTGCAGCACGAGGATTTCAGCAAGCACTACAACAAACACAGATGCAGCGGTGCCGAGTACTCGTCCGTGCGTTCCTCGTGGGCCGACAAGGGCGGGTGCGTCCTTTGGGAGTTAAAGCTTGTGGAGGTTTTCGACGTGCCTCTTTACTTCAGACCCAAGCAGGGGGAGGAGCTCTACGCACATTCAAAGTCGAATTCCTAAGCTGTCATGTATTTTGTACGACTGCACTCGGTTTAACTTCTACAAATACAAGTATACTGTATATTGCATATTGCCTGCTGAAATGATGCTGACAATGCTGCTGTCAGTACTGTCACTTTCCAGGAGATTTGGACTTTGTTCGACATGAGCACGGCATCCACAGACCCGCTCATGATTGGACCATCGGTGTCCGTGCCGCAGCCAGAGGCAACGGTCGGCATCAATGACACTTCGAGCGTTTCCGCCGCCTCCGCGCCCGCCAGCTCGCTTGTGTCTGTTGGGTCTGTTGGGATTGGGACTGCTGAGTCCACTAACCGGCAGAGCCCGGCCGAAATCCAGAGGGCTCTGGATGAACACTGCCCGCGAAAGGCAGCGCGGGCCAATACACAACGTGATTCCCGCTACCCGTGCCACCCGGACAACGATCTACTGTACGGGGATGAGGACAGCGACTCGCTTGCTTCCGCACTATCGGACATCATTGCGGAAGAATACCCCTTGCAGGTGGAACGTGCGACACAACCGAGCGCCTCCCTTGCAATGGACGCCGCCGCTGCACTAGAGACACACCGCGTAAAGACGACGACCCTTCGCGAGGACCACTGGAGCCACGTATCAGAACTTGTCTCGAGGGGCTCTAGTGCTAGCGATCAAAGGACGTTGTACTTGTAAGACTTGTAAGACTTAGAAGCTCTTAAACTCGGAGCCGTAGTCGTAAAACCAGGCCTTAATCCTAAACTTAAAAATCTAAAAACTAGAACGTTCCAGCCTATGCACGCAGACAGACGCATACTTCATGATTTCATTCATGACTTCAGGCGTGCACATGCCGCTTGCCGCTTGCCACCATGAGATCATGCCTCCCGTGACTCATGTGAGTGTGAGGATCAATATCAATAATCAACGTACTGCTGTGATGTTGAGTCATGTCGTCATGTTCAGCCAATCGGGCGTCATGTAGCGCATGTACAGTTCTGGCTGCCTGCGGTCCTGCGGTCATTATCATGATGATTCAGTATTGGTCCCAGTATTGGTCAAGAGTCATGAGTCATGAGTCTCACGCATGAATTTCCGCATGAGTCATGAAGTCAGTCATGAAGTCATGAAATTATTCCTCGGTCTTTAGTCGTGCGTTTGACTAGTTGAATCAGTTGAATGAGGAATCAGCCTCAGCCTCAGCTGATGTTCGTTCTGAAGTTTTGAAGTTCAAGTTCAGCAATCGTCGTGATGCAGTGATGCATGCTTCCACATATGAGGCATATGAGGCTGAATCACATCAGGTGGCATGGCATGATTCTGCATGCCATGCCAGGCCATGTGACCGTGTGACCATGTGGCACACGGACCGCGCGGGGATGTGTGGGGATTGGCACCATGCGGTGTGGCGTCGTGCTGCAGCATGTAGACAGTTTCATAGCATTCATAGCCCACGGCGGCATGGCGGCACGACCAATGAACTCACCGCCGCACTACATCATCACACCGCTAACGGCCAAGTGGCCGCTGCATCCAGTAATCCAGTATCCAGTATCCAGGCAGAATCCACGCAGACGTGTATGCTAAAGACAATGGTTATATGGATTACATGGATAGGTCAGGCTTGGGGTTTTAGGGCGGTCCGAGGTCTTGCCGTCTTGCCTTCTAGGAGTACATGGTGTAGTGCAGACCCTTGCAGATATCGATATCCGACATCACTGCCGTGCGGCACAGAACGTGTAATTTACGTTACTTACAACGTACGTACAACTTATGGACCTATGAGCTATAGAATATAGCACGTCTTATGGACTTAAGTACAATGTACCATCACAGTGTACGATCCTGCAGTGCCAAAGTAGTAAGTAGTACTGTGAGCGTACATACTGTACAATACTAATACTAATACTGTACTAGTCGTCGAGTCGTCGAGTGAGTCGAGGACGACCGTGCTCCAGCTGCTGAACCAGTGACAACTTCGACGACGACGACAACACCACCGATGTCAGCAGCAGTGAATTCAGTGAATTCCGTGAATGTCCAAGCCAATGATGCGGATGTGTCAGAAGGTGGCGGTGTTGGCGGTCATGATCCCGCTGTAGTTGATGCTGATGTGACGCTGCTGCTGAGCACGCAAGCGGACGGTGCGACCCTCATAGCAACTGCACCAACGTTACCACACGATGAAGTTGCTGAGACGCTGAGAGTGTCGACGCCAGCAGGACCCCCCCCAGAAACTCGAAAGGATGCTGAGATGCCCCCTGAGCCAGCAGATATTGATGTTGATGAGACGATCCGTGTGCATTCGGCTGTTGAGATGCCATCAGCAGCAACGTCAACTCCGTCAAACACTGCTGAGACCACTGTTGAGACGCTGAGCATGCGTTCCGAACAGGACGGGCCGGGCGGGGACATTCCGATGCCGACGCCAGCAGCCGAAGTGCGCAGGGAGCAGCACAATGCTGAGATGCCAACATCACCCGTAGCCCCAACATTGTCGCAACAGCTGGATGATGATGATACAATGAGAACGCATGACAACCCAGGCGGGGATGTTCCCATGCCCACGCCAGCAGTGCCGGCAGTGCCACCGCCAGAAGTGCAAAATGATGTGGGTGTGTCAGCAGCAGCACCAACGTTGCCGCAACATGAGCCATTAGACGTTGATGAGATGCTGAGAATGCGTCCAATGCATCCCCACCACAACACGGAGATTCCGAGGTCATCAGAGCCCCAATCAGATGATGTTGATGTTGATGTCGGGGTCAACCCGCCGGGATCCATGCCTGTCACAGCCGCAACTGTGCCAACGCCAGCGGAGACCACATCAAAGATGTCTGAGGCTGTGCCAGAGGTCATGCAGAGCGAGAATAAGTTACATTCCAGCTGTCCCGGCTGTCCCATGCCGGCTCGAAAGAAGATGCCTTCTACCTCAGCCTCCGCCTCAGATGCGAGAACTGTGACGGTGACGAATCTGAAGGAATACTTTGACTTCTTTCAGAATGCAGTTGACGCAGTCCTGGCAGATGGGACAATCAGTCCCGGGCTGTTGAGGGACGGGCTTGACAAACTGTCCATCAGCACGGCATACTCCGGCATCGGTGGGCCGGAAGCCACATTGTTCACATTGCGGGATTGCTTTGCTCGGCAAGGGCATGGTGTTCGCCTGCAATCGACGGGCCCGGAGATCATGTTTCAGATGGAGATTGACCCAGTGTGCCGACGCGAGCTGCTGAAGTACGAGTCTCTGGGAGGTCACAGTCACGGCGGTCACGGTTGTTGCCTCTTTGGCAACCTCGAGGAGTTCTTCCGCCCTGAGTTGGAAGACGTGGTCGCCCAGCTTCGTGAGCGACCGGAGCTAGCACTGGAGGTTCTCTCCAAGGCTGTGGCGGAATGTGAGGCAGCGGGATGCACCTCCTACTGCTACAGACACCATCGACAATGCTCCTTGCAGCCTGCTCGCGTTTGTGTGTTTTTGTGCTGCACGCTGCCCAGCGTGGCCTGACGCTTGCAGCTTGCACGACTACGTCATATGCGTGACTACAGTGACTACATGATTGCAAGTCTATACGGTCTAGACTACCGGACTCACGACTCACGACCATCAAGTACCCTCAAGACTACATGTTACATGACTACATTGTGGCTGCATGATGACTACATGTATATGTACATGGCCGCATGCAGCATGATTCGCATGATTGCCCGAACCCACGTGACTCACGGATTCCATGAGTCCCATGGCCCATGGTCCCATGATAGCATGATTGATTGATTGATTCATCAATTCATCGGGCAAGCAAGTCACGTCACGTCTCTTGTTAGCCTTGTTAGCATGTTGCATGTGTGTCAGTGTGTTGTCACGAGACTTAAACTCATGTGTTGTGCCACTGCTGCATTGCTGCGTTGTTGCATTGTTGAATTGTATGCAGCTTGGTCCGCTTGGTCGGTTGGTTTGGCGGACTGTCGCGATGAAAGCGTCAGCTCTCGTGCTGAGCTGTTACGTCCCAGTTTTGAGTCTTGAGTGTGATCTGTGAGGATGTGAGTAGGCCAGGCCACACTGGCCGCGGCCACATCACGTGCATCGCCGTGCATCGCAAGTTCGCGTAGGCAATCCTAGCCTAGACTCCTAGACTCATGGGTCCCCATGGGTTCATTTTCATTGACCCTGGGTTCATGTAAGTTCATGTACTCACGTACGCTGCACAAAGCCCAAATGCCCAAAGCCCAAAGCCTTACACTGCTTGAATCAATCTGAATGTCTGAGGCGGATGGCCCGTGTTCACATTGCTGGTACCAGTTGTGTTTCCTGGTCGGCCCAGGGTAAACAATTGGGCGTCCGTGATGCAACCGTGTTGCCTTTCCTGGTGTGGATCTGTCACAGACTGCTCTTGCAGGAACCTGTGATCATTCACGAGAACAGCCCAAGGTTTCCTCGGTCACTGTTAGAAAGGTTCCTCGGCCACCTTTACGTGATCGACGATTGCATCATTGAAAGCTCCGAGTACGGCTCGCCGGCACGCAGGGAGCGGAAGCTTACCCGGCTTTACCACCGCGTCAAGACGTTCCAACCCGACGTTCCCTTCTCGACTTTCAACCGAGCCTTTCATCGGTCCTGCACCATGACCTGGCGCGAATTCTATTGGCGACATCTTCTGACCTCCCACGAGCCGAGCCGGGTTTTTCGGCATCAAACGTGCTATTGAAGCAGACGTAATTACGGAATTACGGGTCACGCCCTATAGTCCCCGGGGTCCATAGTCCATAGTCCTAGGATAATATGTCTGGTCGTGCGTAATGCTTAGGTTATTATAGACTATAGACGTCGGTCAGGCTGAGTTGCACGAAGACCTTGCCTGGGCAAGCGGTCGGCCTACCGTGCGTGCTGGGGCAGTGGTGGAGGCAGAAGACTCGCTGGACAACGAGTTCGAGAAGGCCCTGAACCCGACGGAGACCAAGTCCTTGAGGGCTTATCGTGCCAAGTCTCCCACCATGGCGTATTCATTGTCGCAGAATGGCGCCACTACCTTCGCTATGACGAGCAGTGCACAGCATCTGCAGACGATGATACGCCATAGCGGGTTGACATGGTGCGACGGACCCTTGGCGACCGGGGCAGGACTGGTTTGGGAGTGGCTTGGGAGTGGGTTGGGGCGGCCTGGGTTTGACATTGAGCGTCAACCCACCCAGGCCCAGACGGACCATTGATCAATTTGCTGCGTGCATACTGAGTACTGCGTGTGATGCACATTTATGCCCCGCGCACTGTTGCATATCTTGTCCACTTGTCCACGATCATGTGATCATGTGAGAGGGTGCAGACGGTATAGCTGTTATGGGTCATGAGTCATGAGTCATGGGCTGTTATGCCAGATGCTGCTTAGGCTTAGGCGGTTAGGCTAGTTAGTTAGGCCGAAAGCCGCGGTGGGCCCTATGTCACAAATCATGACATTTGCTGCTCTCGGGCCTTGGGAATTATGTTGTATTTTGCTTTAGAAACAACACAACTGAACAGGATACATGTCCGCATCCACATCTCCGTCGTTTCCAGCGTGCACTCCAAGGTGGATGACAGGCACCGAGGTCTTAGTGACGCAGGCGTGGCCCGTACATCCCATTGTGAATGCCGGAATGAAGGTCACACCGTTCCACGTCGACAGCCCCGATCCTCGCATGTCCCGTGTTCTCCGAGCACAAGCTGGCAATTCCATGAACCTCTTCATGCTGACGGTCCAGTTTCTCCACACACTTTGTCACGTCGAGGTCCCTGAGCAGTTCCTTTAGTCAGTGGTCAGTGGTTGGATGTAAATGTCACTGTCGCTGTCACTTGTAATGTAACTTGTAACTGTAACTCGTCACAAACTTGTCACTTGTCAGCTTGTCAACCAGGATAAACAAGGATGTAATGCAGCTGTTCGGCGGCGTATCCGGCGTATCCTGATCGAAGTCTGAGTTGATGGATTGAACGACTGAGCGAGCTCAATGACTCAATGATTCATGATTCCATGATCTTAGGTCACACGGTCACGCTGATTAGCATTCACACTCGTCAGACGTTTCATGTTCGACGACTGGTACGTTGTGTTGCCTGCAAATCAATCTAATCTTGGTCGTAGGTGCAGGCACCCAGCGCGGTCATCGGCTTTGTGCATTCCGTGCTGCTGCATCGCCGTCGCGGCAGATGTGACGGAGGTGACGGAGGTGACGGTGACGATGATGACCAAGATGACCGCCATGAGCATCCAGTGGATCCAGATCGACATGAAACACTCCAGCAGGCGGGAAAGCCTCCCGCAAAGCGGTATCGACGGAAAGGCCCTGAGGCATAGGGCCATATGGCACATGGCGAGTTGCAGCGCACACAGGCGCATGGATCATTGATTCGATTCATTAATCATGGGATTGTCTAGGCCATCGGAGATGCGGAGTTTGAGTCAAGTTTGAATGACTGAGTGTGTGACTCAGTTGTGACATCGCTGGTACTGCTAGCGCGGGTCTGTCTGATATCTGTCAGCTGTCAGTCTGTCATTAGTGGTGACAGTGGTGACAGGAGTCCAAGCCGAATTGAATTCGAAGTGCCAACTGCCAACATGCTGAAGTTCAATGCTGAAGTCACAGTGGCTGTTCATGAGTCCATTGGTCCATGAGTCCATGAGTTCATTGGTCCATGTCCATGTCCATGAATCATGAGTATCATGAGTAATCATGAGTCATGAGTCCACGAGTCATGCGGGTCATGAGTCCACGAGTCCACGAGTCATGCCGCATGCGGATCATGAGTCCACGAGACCACGAGTCATGTGGGTCATGAGTCATGAGTCATGAGAAACTAGTAAGCAATGAGCAATAGGTCGTGATTACTTGCAGAGTGCACTGGCAGAACAACTCTGGCACTGACTACGTCAGAGCGTGTTGCAATACGTAGCTCAGCTCATCATGCATGTAGATCAGCAGGAATCAGTAGGACGTCAGCGACGTGCATTGTGACGTGCATTCGTCGCAGAGTGCCAGTCGTCATCCGTTGACCTTAGTCTCAGATCCTGCTGGACTGGACAGTCAACACTGTGAGCCCCCGCAGGCCCACATACCCACAGCTGCCCCGAGCCACAAACCCAGAGACCCACACGGGACCCACACATAACTGTCACATAACATAACCGTTACACAACTTTACACAACCCTCACATACAGACCGGAAGACCTATGACTATGCGGCTGGCGCTCGTAACAGTAACACTACTACTAGTACTACTGCTTTAGTCCGTGTCGCTGCGGCGGGGAACACGTGAAGGCCGTGAACGCAGTGAACTCACACGCACACTGAACGTAGCCGTAGCCGCCGTAGCCTGCAGCCTCCATACGTGACTCCATACAGCATACAGCTCCCGTGGGGCGGCTGCATTATTACGTTACACCGTTACACTGTGCAACTGCGGTATCGGCCGCATCTGCTAGGTCAATTCATTCATTCCTCGGTTCCTGGACTTGATTCCTTAAAAAGGAAGTCAGGAGTGCATGGGTGCATCGCTGAAATACTGTAGTCTTTGGACCTTTGGATCTATGCTGGCTACACCCGTGGTGCGGCTGACTGACTTGATGACTTGTGTTATCGTTTGAGTACGTGATATTGTACATTGTTCGAGCCTGCTGTGTTTTTTCAGCAATTGTTATTGTAAGCCGCTGGGAGGTCAAAAGTATTATTAAGACGCGGGCTCAGATGCAGGAGCAGGTTGCACATGATCAGGTGACAACCGCAGCCGCACCACACCGCCAGGAAATCCACACGTCACCCGTACATTAGCCTTACGTTGCCTTACGTTAGCTCGTACAATAGCGGCTGGTCGACTTCAGACTGTCATACAGAGTCTAACAGCCATACAGTCATGCAGTCATACAGTCATACAGTCAGTTCGCATCACTACAGGCTGTTGTTGCAGCGCTGTGTTGAATGGTGTTGACCGGTGCTGAAGTGTTGTGATGTGATGTTCAACGTGATGACTTGCTGACTGTGACAGTGACGATGGCAGTGACGTGAGTAGTCGTGATTAGTGATTAGTGATTAGACTGAGCAGTGACAGTCCGATGGTCCGACCCAGTCCGCCAATGGGATCAGGTCAGGCTGCAGGCTTTGGGCCAGGGGAAGAGTCCACTCAGTGAAAGCAGCGTAGCCGCAAAAAAAAATGCACTGTGACAGTGACAGTCGACAGTTGCGAGAGTTGCATGTTACTTGCGTGGTGAAAGTGTCAACTCATCATTGATCCATTGATTCATGGATTCATAGATTCGAATCATGCTTAGCATGCTTCCAATCATGACGTGTGATGCTTGAGTCCGAGTCCGCCTGAGTCACATTTGTGCGTCATGCGAGTCATGCAAGCGTCCACGTCGAGTCCATGGATCACCAAACAGTTCCGAGCCATGTACTGCATGCACGACATTTCAGTCATTACATTACAGTCATCAGTCATGAGTCATGAGTCATGAGCCATGGGACATGGGGGGGGGGGGGGGGGGGNNGGGGGGGGGGGGGGGCGTGGAGTGAGTCCATATCATCATATCAACATTAACAGATTAACAGAGCAGTCCACGTCATTCATCCAGTGAGTCATTCAGTGATTCAGTCATTCAGACACAGACACTCAGCCACGCACTCCCGCCAGTGACGTGACGTAACTGTCATAACCGTGAGGACCCCGCTGCCGCTGCGCCGCCTGCGCCACTGATTCCCGCGGCTGTGCGACTGTGACTGATGGATGGGATGCGGGTGTAAGTCCTGCGACTCTACTCACGGAGTCATGGACTCATGGACTCAGTCATGACCAAGTCATGTGGATCATGCGGATCATGCGTCATGTGTGTAGTTGGTTGTCATTGGTTGTGCTGAGTGAGTAAGTGAGTGAGTGAGTGGCTGAGTGACGGAGTGGCGAACTGGGCATGCATGATTCACGTTTCCATTTCATGCACTGCTTCACAGTGTGACAGCGTGACGCAGTGACGCATTGCGGCCGCATTGCGGGCGACACGTGTCCAGCAGCGATGTCCTCTGGATAAAAAAAATTCCGAACGGCCTCAAAGGCACAGATGCTGCCGCTTTTATCTAATTAGTTCGGAATGTGACGGCTACCCGGCTACATTCTATTCTATTGCCATTGCCATTGCCGTTGCACAATCGTAGAGTTGGACCAGAGTTGGATGTGTGTCCATGATCCCATCAGCACGCGGTTCTATGACAATTCCCTGTTCACGGTCGACGGTTCACTTGTGCACTGGATCAGTTCAAATTGCCGCCGCGTTACACGATTACACGATTCACTGATTCACGAGATTCGCAATTCACAACCAACCATCACCATCACTACTGTGGAATTCATGCCAGCACTGCATGACCGTCACCTGTCATGACCGCGATTGACGCAACTTCATAATGTCAAGTGTCAAGTGTCGAGTGTTATAATGTCAGACGTTATAACGTTACAACGTTACACTGCCGACTGCCGAGTGATTATCATGACGGGCCGTCTTGTCACTTGTCACGGACTCACGGACTGTCATGCTGTCATGCTCGCGTAATGTCACATGTTAGGTTACTTTACCGTCACTCTGTTATTTATGATGACGATGATGTATGATGATTCGATGATGACGATGATGATGATGATTCATGTTATTATGTAGCAGCGGCCACGTGCCACGGGTAGTGACAATGTCAGTCTCGCAGTGATGCAGGCAGGCAGTATTGCGGCAGTGTGGCAGTGCCGACTCGTCTGACACGGTCACTGCAGACATTATTATATTATTACGTTGGACATTGGAGACTATGCACTACGCACTAGCCTCTTCAGCCCGTTTTGGTTCAGCTGTTCTCAGCTGTTCAGGCTGTTCTGTGTGTGACATTGTCCGACATCAGTAGCCGTAGCCGCCATCAGCCAAACTCTCGGCATGCAGGCAAACAAGTCCGCCTCGGGATCGGGCTTGCAACGCTCCGGCACTTCCGACATGAAAGCCGCCGCAGCATCATTGGGAGAAGTTCATAGCCAGTTGCCAGAAGAGATCAAGGATTTGCGGGGGCATCTGCTTGTGGAAGCTGTGTTCTCGTCGTGGGGCGCCGGTACATGCACTGTGCCGTGGCTCAATGAAGCAGGCGAGCGCAACGTGCGGTCGGACGAGGTTAACCGCCCGATCATGGAGTCTTTGTGTGAGGCTTATGTGGATCGCATTCTTGAGTCTGGCCTGAACGTCGACTGTTCTGGACAGGGTGGGTGGGTGGGAACGGGCCGGCATGCATCACGACGTCACTGTTATGAGCTGCTGTTATGGAGTAGTCAACGGTATTCTACTCTGGTACTACATCTAGTACTAGTACTTGCGGCGTGCGGCATGTGGGATCATGTGACCATGTGGGACATGACTTTGGGCACGGTTCACAGCGGGCATGACGGCATGACATGAGCCGCACTCGTAGACTCGTAGAGCTTAGCCTTAGTCGCTTCTGATTCGTCCTGATGTATGCAGGAAGGGCATGGATGGTATATGGTCCGAACCAATTTCCTGTGACTGCGATCACCTATGGTCACAGGTCCGAGGCAATGTACCGTGCAATCCAGCGCGAACCTGACAACCCCTACGTCAAGAAAGCGCTCGCAACAGGACTCGAGTCCGTTCGGATGCTCAGCAACAGCGTACCCGTGGAAGTCAAGGCCGCACTGTGCCAGATGCACAACGCATACCACGAAGGGGCCGGTGAAACCTGGCTCGCGTTGCTGGACCGTGCCGAGGAACTCATGAACGAGTGGGACCTCCGGAACAATGGACCCCACGGCACCGGCCTGACCACGAGGAACGCCCAATATGATACGTTGATGGAGAAGTTCATTTTCAAGGAAAAGAATGCTCAGGGATGGGGCGATTCGCTGAACTTCTTCAAGTCCACTACGATCTTGAACAACTATTTGAACAGGTTCTTCCTCAAGAATGACGTCCGCGACTGGTGCAATGCTCACATGAGCTTCGGTGATCACAGCTTGAGCAACAGGCGGGTAGGTCAGGTAGTAGGCTTGCGATCGACGATCACAGTGAGGATGTTGCGATCGTCAATGCTCACCGTAAGACTTCTAAGCTTGAATGCTTCGTACGTTACCGTTATGTGTCTCCGGTTCACGTGCTAAGCATGCATTGCAGTCAACATGATTCAACAGGAGTCAACACATGCACGTGTCACGTCCGCATCATGGCCGGTGGGCCTATGAGCCCGAGCCAGTCACAGTCACATGGCCACAGGGCCACAGGGTCAGAGACGCAACAATAAGCATGGTCACTGGCACGGCAGGCACGTACATGTTCACAATCGCACTCATGGCAGTGAGAAGGACTCAATGACTCAATGCCTAATCACTGTCACTGAGATCAGATCAGTGTTCGGGTGTTCAGGGCGTCGGTCCTCGGTCCGGCGTCGGTGTCGGTTGTCGGATGGTATGTTGTTGCTGCTGTGATGCAATTGCATTGTCCTTCACTGCCACCGCGTCGCTGTTACCATCACGTTGTGACCAAATCGAAAAGAACGACTTCTTGACTTCTTAGGCTACTTAGGATATTTAACCGATTAGTCGATTAGTAGATTAGTTATTTGCTCGTCATTATAAACTAGCCGTAAATTTACAGGTTTTACTACTGATACTAAATTTCAGAATCACCACAGAGGATGACGACATAATGATTGACGTTCACGATAGCTCCGCATGGGCCTGTATAGTATAGGGCCTTAGGCTTTAGCCTTTTGACCTTGGACTCGCGGACCCCTTGGGCCCCGTGCCGTGTTGGCAGTCATGACAGTCATGACTCATATTTGGGAATTCACGCACGGCCGCATGCCGAATGTAGTGGATCCAGCGTCAGCCAGTCACTGAGTCACTGAATCAGTCGGTCAGCCAGTTTGAGTCGGAGTTAGTCTCCAGTCTCCGGTTCCGAATGTCTCCCTGTCTCCATATGACTCACAGGGATCTCATCTTCATGTTGCACCAGATGGCCGTGACCATTGTATCGTCAATGGTGAAGTACTACCACAAAGAGTTCATCGGCGTGGCTCTGTTCGAGGCTATCAAGTTTTGTGCTCCACGGACGCAATGGTGGCTAGTAAAATGCTGAGTCTGAGTCCAGGAGTCTAGGAGTCGAGTAGTCGGAGTAGTAGAGTAGTAGAGTATTACTGACTTACTACTACTACTACTATTACATCTATTACTATTACTACTACCTTTTCTACTACTACTACTACTACTACTACTACTACTACTTCTTACTACTACTACTACTACTACTACTACAACTACTACTACGACTACTACTACTACTACTATTTACTATT